TCAACCAGCTGCTGCCTGTCTTTCCCTGGCTACTCCACTCTCACACCCTTAGAGGTGAAATAAAAATACGCTTGAGGTTCATGGTGCATTGTTCCTTCCCATACAGAAAGATGCTTCCCAGATGAACCCAACTCTCCAATGCTGAGAGCTACACAAAGGCCATGGTGCTGATCCCACATTGTCCTCCTCTCATGGGTTGAGTTTCCCTTCCTTCCAACCCTGAATTCCCTGCTGACTCATAAGGCAGAGCAAGGAATATAGGCCAGGCAGGCACAGAACCCTCACCGATGATGTCCGCAAGTCAGCTACTTAAGCTGACCACTTCCAATTAATAGCAAGGAAGAATCTGGTTTTGGATCAATGTGATTTTCAGCCATCAATATCCGGCTAATATATAAACCCACACACAGGGCAATCCAGGATGGCAATGAAGATTCATTCTTCGACTTTGGAAAGCAACGGTTTTGATTCAAGTGCTACTTCTTCAGAAGTCTTCCCTTATTCTGCTAGTTGTAGTTACTCTTTATCTGTTGTCTCATGCTATTATAGTTTGTACAGACCTCACTTTGTATTGCCTTACACATCTGTCCCCCTACATAACTGCTAAGTCCTAAAAAACATCAGTTCTACCTTAGTCACTTTTGCACTTTCCCATATTACTGATCAAAGATACCTGCTCATTGTATCAGCAAATATTTATCGCATTGAGCTGAAACACCCTTAAAAATCTCAGAGAAAGACCAAGAAGGCAGTAAGGGTCAGGAAATAATTAAACACAAATTGATTAACATTATTCTCTCTCCATCTCTTCCCCAAAACAGCTGTGGCCAGTCCTGAGCTAGGGATACCAATAAGCCTCCTGAGAAAGAATGTGGCCTCCCATCTCCATCCTGGAAGGACTTGGATGGATTGCACATGAAGAGGGTGGAAATAGAGCCCAGAGACTAGAAGGGATGGATTGAATCACAAGGCCTGCTGGTGGCAGCCCTGGAGAACACTACACAGACAAGGAGGTAGAAGAGCCAATCCTGTGATGTCAAAATCTGGCAGGCTTTCCCCAGTGGGGCCCGAGAGGACTGGGATTCTAAGATAGCACAGATATGTGGTGACCTTGAAAAGGTCCTCCCATAGATTCCATGCTGAGGTTATTGAGGAAGTTGTGCCATATACCAGGGCTTCAAACTGGGATATGTATAAGAGAACTCCAGAAATGCCATGGGGGCAGACTTCATGCCAGACTCTGATTTTCAGTGTATGGTGCCTCATTCAGGAATCAAGTATTCCAGAAAAGGAGACCATTCCCCTTCTCATACTGTAATCCTGGTTGGGTACAGAAGTGGGCCCCTTACACCATCCCCTTGGTGAATTCCCCAAAGTCAACAGGGTGCAGTCCCCTGAGATTAGCAGACTTCCAGAATCCTCTCTTTCTCATGCTGTCACAGGCAGGCAGTAGCAAATGCTTCAAAATTAAGAGAAAAAAAACTTTATACATTAGTTTTGGCAAAGTACAGTCAGGAGCTAAATCAAACTCAGAAGGTATTTAAAAGTTGTTTTGAAGCTGGGCCTGGTGGCACACACCCATATCTCAGCACTCGGGAGACTGAGGCAGGAGGATTGCTGAGAGTTCAAGGCCAGCCTGGGCTACATAGTGAGATTAAGGTTAACCTGAACTACATAACAAGAGCCTGTCTCAAAAAACCAAAACAAATAAATAAATAACAGCCATTGTTTTATCTCATCCATATGAAAAACTCTAAGCTAAGAACTCAATCTTAGAGCAGACATTAATTTTAGTAAAAAGAGAGGTCCTGGTCCTGATCAGTGTAGATCAGACCTGTAGCAATCCAGAAGGCCTCAGATCTCCCAAGTTCTCCAGAAAATCAAGGCCTGTTTCCTTGCTGGGTCCTTGAGGCCTTGGCCCCAAGCAGTTCAGGCAGAAACCTGCTCCTCTAGCTGTGAGATCTCCTGCCAGCTCTCTGGGGATGACAATAGCCATTGGCTCTGTGTCAGGCTTCATTTCCCCATCATCCTGGCCGCAAACCGTGCCTCTGCCAGGGAACGGTGCTGCTGGCTGGGAGTCCCCAGAGAGATCTTCTGGGCTGGGTGGCACACTTACACCTGGGTTCCAGCTTGCTAGATCCCTCCCTAAGAAACATACTGTCTCTGCCTCTCTGTCTCTATCTCTCTGTCTCTCCCTGACCTCCAGGTTTCTAGAGGGAAGGTGGGACCCAGGGTGTAGAGTCCTGTTGGGCTAGGAAGGAGCAATCAGCAGTCTCACAGTGCAGCCTGCTGGGCATGAATGATGGTGCAACTGGGGGAACTGGGGCAAGAGCTGCAGGGAAAGGCACCTTGCCTCTCTACTCTGTTGACTTGCACCTTCCAGGAAATGAGTCCAGGCCCCGAGACTCAAGATTAGAAGGGGAACGATTCCTAGGCTTTGGACATGCAGCCAGATCTCCCACCCACTGAGCTCTCAACTGCTCACACAAGTGTGCTTTCAAATGTGCCAAGCAGCTGGCACAGGGGCAGAGCACCAGGGTTCCAGAGGAAGGACAGAACATCAGAGCTAAAATGAGGAGTAGAATGACCCAGGTGGGAAATACCTTGGCCATGCACTTGCATGAATTATCATATCCACCTTCAGTAAGACTCGCTACTTCTATCCACTTTTCAAGACAGACTGCAGAAGTGCAATGTCTATGTGTGGTGCAGACAGGTACAATTCACATTCATCTGCAGAGATGGGGCAAAACTGTCACAGTGTGGAACCCAGGATGATTCTGAGAGAAGAGCACAGCCTGTGCTTGGTAGGCCAGGTAGGTTTTCGCAGGAGGTGGCAGAAAAGATGGAGGAGAAAAGGTGGGAGAGAAAAATGGTGCTAAAGAATCATCCACAGATGAGGAGGGAGAGAAAAACATCAGGATCCTGAGGTCCCATGGCTGTGTGATGATGACAAGGAAGAAGGAGACTTTCACAGAATCAAAGCAAGCGAGCCAGGGCCACATGGGAAGAGAGTGTAACATGGAAAACACCAAGTTCAGTGTGGAGCACGCTGAGTGCCAGGAGCTGTTTCCCACTTGCTGCACCCAGTTGTCTTTTTGTGAGCTGCCCGTGCAGCTGTGTGCAGTGCCCCTGTCTCTGCTTGCTCACTGAGGCCATAGCACTTGTTCTACTGTCCTCACTTCTCTTTGCAGCAGCTCCTTATGCCACTGGGTAGATGACAATCTGCCCCACTCTTCCACAGGCTCCCCAGGAACCAGCTCATCTTCTCTGCCCCTCCAGGCTCAGCCTTCTCTTCCTTCCCCAGCACCCCACCACTGACCTTGTCCAGGGACTGTGGGAGTACCCTGACCATGTGCCCTGCACGGTGCCATGGAAGGCCTCTGGCTCCATTCCAGCTCCTATGCCCTGTCTAGACAGAGCTGAGCTCTCCAAACTTGCCAGGCCACAGAAGAGAGGTCTGCTCCAAAAACAGTTCTCCTCCTGCAGGTGAGGCTGCTCTGCTAGCTAAAATTCAGTGCATATTGGAGCTATTTCCCACTTAGCTGGCAGGCAAGTTACCTGAAGTCTTTGGGGAAGATACAAGACTCCTCTCTGGTAGGGAAGATTTTTATTTTTTATTCATACTTTAAAAAAACAAATGGGTAGTTGGACAAAACAGGCGACAGAGGTGGGTGGCCACTTGAGATTCAGAGAGAGACATCAAAGCCCACAAGAATGGAGGAAGTGCCTTGGTGTGACCCCAAGAACAGTGTTGGTGGCCCAGTCTGCAAAAAGGCAGCCAGGGAACAGAGCTACTGGATAAGGATCCTCAGTCACAGCCACCCGACACTCCTGCTCCCAAGCCCAAGGTCCTCAGCTGGAAACAACACCTGCTTTTCACAGTTTCCTGGGAGTCCTTTCACATCTCAGCCTAAGAGATGAACCTGCCCAAATGCAGGCCCACATGCTGTACTCTTTTTCCAAGAAGAAACTGGAACTCCTCCCTGTAGACTCAATCCTTTAGACAGCTACCCTCCCCGTCACAATCCCAGCCCAAGGAAACCAGCCAGGAATTCTCTCTGCATTTGCAGGTTGGCTAATTAGCTCATTGGAAGAGCCACAGTGATTATGCAACAAGGAGGCCATCCTGTCAGTCAGAGTCTCCTCCCCCAAGCTCAGTCCCCCACATTTCCAAATGACCATGTTCTAGCAAGTTATTGCATAAATCCCCAACTTATGACAATCAGGACCCTGAAGGCCAAAGAACAAACTTAGCTGGCCCAGAGAATCTGCATCACTTAGTGCCCAGCTCTAGACTAGAGCCCAGGTCTCGATTCTCAGCCCAACACCTTCCTCTTTCCCAGTGCTCCCTACCAACACTGCAGCCAGGAAGAAAGTGGGACTAATTGGATTCCCAGAGCCTGACCAATGTGGAGCTAACCAGACTTACTGCATTCTCTAAGTTCTTTCAAAGGACTTTCATCTGTGAGAAGCTGAGGAAGGTTGTAAGGTGCCAGCAACAGAACATCATTCTGGGGTCAGCAGTGAAGAAAGGGAATTCAGGACCTCCCTGCTAGAAAAGCTATAAAAAAATCACTTCTCAGCCTTTTGGCTAAGATCAAGTGTAGAAAAGCTATAAGGAACCCACAGGCCAGCCAGCTTACTCCTCATTATCTGCCAGAACTTCTTTCCCCTTGGTCCACACTGTGGCTGTTTGGGTATCACCCTAGGCAGGTTTATGGAAAAGAATAAAAGGCAGTTCTTCCACTTTCAAAGTCCAGGCAAGGAAAAAGAGACCATATTGTTGAGGACCTCAGGATGGACGTCAAAAGATATCTATTTCCCACCGCATCTCTCTGCTGCTTCATCACGCAGAAGACACAGAATGTAGGATCACAGCCCAAGGAAAGCAGACCCTTCTGCTGAAACAACAGACTGAAGGGCCACGGGGGTTAGCAGTGCATCATTCCGCATTTACCCTTCGAGCAGCCTCCCCCAAAAGCCCGCCTACAACTTACCTGATCAGGTCAATGGGTTGAAACTTATAAAACACTCCATAGCGTGCCCACTCTTGATACAGCAGCTAATCAAGAAAAATAGGGAGACAGATTAAAGATGAAGGTGAGTAACTGTTTACATTATTTTACCCATTTTAGCAGGTCATAACTGTATCCCCATTAGCCCAGCTTCTAAGACAAGTTCGTGAGACATCTACAAAGGAGATGTCCAAAGGCGAGAAGTTAGAGCAACTGCCTTCTCCTTCTGCCAGTAACCAAGGTCATGTTTGTCACACTCAGAGGCAGTCCTACACCTAAGAGGCTAAACCTTCCTTTTTGATTCCATTGTTTTGCCCACTCTTGTCATTCATCATTCACTCATTTAACAAGCATTCATTGAACGTCTCCTATATGCAAGGCACTGCCCCAACCCTGAATACAGCAGTAAACAAAGCAGAGTTCTTGCTGTTGTGGAGCTTATGCCTGGTATGGGAAACACAGAAACACAGAGCATATAAGATTTATAAGTGTTATAAAAAAATAAATCAAGGTAAGGAGGACTGTGAGAGAAGGGTGGCATAGGGTGCTACTTTAGATAGGATGGGCAGGAAGGTCTTCTCTGAGGAGGTGACACTCAAGCTGAGACCAGAATAAAATGGGCAAATGTGCCAGGAGAATGAACTTTCTGTACAAAGGCCCTGAAGCCTGTGGTACATCCTAAGATCAAAGATAGTGAGTGCCTGGGACAGAATGAGCATGGAGAGAATACGGGGAAGTAACAGCGGAGGGTACCAGTGATGTGCGCATCATCAGAGTTCAGCAGGCCTTGCTAAAAGCTTTGAACTTTGAGGGAGATTTTCAGCCTATGGGAGAAACAATCTTACTTAACTGTAGAAGGTGTGCTCTGGACGCTGTGTGGAGAACAGAGCGAGAGTGCAGAGAACGAGGGAGGCTGCTGGAATGATCCAGGTAAGAGATGATGGCTGCAGCAGTGGTGTGCTAAGAGACACAGTGGGAATTTGTTGATGCTACTTATTGATTTACTGCTGGACTGAATGTGAGAAAATGAAAACTCTGCCTGAGTACTTGAGCAACAGTGATACCATCTACTAAAGTAAGAAAGACTGTAGGAAGAACAAGTTGTGATATGCAGGACCAAGAATTCACTTTAAGGTGTACTAATTTGAGATGCTCTTTAGGAAACCAATGGAGATGTTGAGGTGAGTCCAGAGTGGAGATGCAAATTTAGGAGTTACTGGAGAAGAGATGATTCATAAAACCGTTATACTATGGATATAATCACCAAAGAAGAAATGGTAAGTACAGAAGAGGCTTAAGGCGCTCTAATGTTTAGAGCAGTGATTCCCAACCTGTTTGGCACCAGGGACAGATTTTGTGGAAGACTATCTTTCCCTGGAAAAACTGGGCAGGGGTTAAAGCAGGATGGTTTCAGGGTGATTCAAAGGAGCTTGAAACCTAGATCCCTGGCATGCACAGTTCACACTAGGGTTCACACTCCTATGAAAATCTAATGTCACTGCAGATCTGACAGGAGGTGGACCTCGGGTAGCAATGTGAACAATAAGGAGTAGCTATAAACACAGATAAAGCTTTGTTTGCTTGTCTTACACATGCCTCCAGCTGTGCAGCCCAGTTCCCTGGATGTTAAGGACCTCTGGTGTAGAGAACAAAGATGGTGAAGCAGCAAAGAGGTGGAAGGAACAGTCAGTGGTATAGAGAAAGAGCAGAAGTATGTGGGGTTCCAAAATCTAAGAGAAGAAAGGGTTTCCAAGAGAAGAAAATAAGATGAGTCAAATACTACTCCTGGGTCAGGTCAAACAGGAATGGAAAAGTTGCCATTAGACTCAGTCACTTGAAGATCACTGATGAGCTCAATAAAAGAGGATCTGGGAAAGGGAAAAGGCACAATCTGAGTATTACAAATTCAAGAGGCTGGGGGGGTTACTATGCCAAAGACATCATACCATGGGATTTGTGAGAATTCTGTAGCAAATTTGGCAAAACTAACACATGATCAAAACCTGAACAGGTGGGCAAACCACACCTCCCAATATTTTAGTGCCAAACACCTGGCCAGCAAGTTTCACAAATCATCCACCAGCAAACGAAGAAATTTAGCAATGGGCCACCACGAGACCTCACCTGGAAATCCATGCTGCACAGGAATTGGTGCTTGCTCAAATAACATATCTAGAATTGACAGATTTTCAATACAGTTGCTATTTTATTATGTTCTTTATGCTCCTTACACATTATATCTTTTTTACATCACACACAACTCACAAGGAAATCCATCAAGGAGAACCTGCTCTAATCAGGTATTTTGGATGTCGATTGAATATCAGCCCTCCAGAAACCATCATTTTTACTTCAGTCTTGAAAGACATGATATTAAAACTAAAATGAGAACTACTATTTGCAAAGGAGAAATACTGAGATACAAAAGGAAGCTACGCCAGGCATGATCTGAAATGATGAGCATTGATTCTGTTCATTCCAGGGAGGTGTTTTGTAACTAACTCTTACTGTTCCCCCATCTTAGGTTTTTCTGCTGCCTTGAGTTTTGATTTCTTCCTCCCAAGTGCAAACCCTGGGCTCTCTAGCACCTGGTTGTCACAGTGACATCCTTTGTGGCCTAAAGGGAGGCCAGTTTGCGTCAGGAGATACAGGCAGGGCCCTCCTTGAGGACCAGTGGGACGTCACTGCCTGTCTCATCGGCAGGCTCTAACTTTGAAAGCAAATTCCTCCCTAGGTCACATGATCAGCCAAATCTTGAGTCTGAGAAGACTGTTTGTCACTGCCCCTGAAGGGAAAAACCTAAAAACACTCCAAGAAGCGAAGGAGCTCCAATCAGCTCCAGCCCAAGCTAAAAGGCAACCTCAGAAGCCTGAACCCCTTTGGATTCTGGACTCTGGAAGACACCCTCAATCCCTATTTCAGTGTGGAACCCTCTATGTACAATGTTATATCCATAGTTGTGGGTAAGGATGAGCCAAGAAAGTTGCTTGAGCTTGATATAGAGGAACAAGGTAGATACAGAGGAAGGAATCATTAGGCAGTCCCTGAGAAAACCATGGGAGCTACAGAGAACCACACTGGGGAGGTGGGACAGCACTCGTGCCAGATGTTCAAGTGGATCTTACTAGGAAGCCCACACACTCCTGTCATCTGCCAGGAAGGCAGGGGCAGGAGAGGTGCAATAGACATTTCCTCATCTCTAAGAATGTTCCATCACCCACGATCAAGACCAAGTGGCTCATGATGGACTCCAGGCCCCAGGTCCCAGAAGAGGCCAGCAGCCAGGGTGAAGAGAGATACATCTGGAGTCTCGCCCTTGAGAGGAGGAGCATAGCACAGGTAAGGTGCAGGGGCTCAGCCATGGGAACAGCTAACAGTCCCTTCCAACTTGCAGAGTCTAGAATCTTCTATTGCAGCTCTTAGCAAATCCACTTTCTCCTTACACCCTGTCTTCTCTTCACCAACCAGCCAGGCCTACAATTAAATGAGAGAGAGGTTGTGATTCCGTCTTACTGGACAGCGCCCCACTGCAGAGGCCCTGGATGATGCCAGGCATGTCCCCAAAGTGCTACAACAGGAAACAATGCACAGAGATTGCCCCATCAGACAGATCCATGCATACAAGCAGCGAGGTCAGCTCCCTGGAGGACTACATTTGACAGCAAGTCACTAATTAAAGTACTTCGCAGGACTGTCAAGGAAGACAGGTCCTAAAACCCTTCCTAAGGACATTTTGCAATACCAGGGGAAGGCAAGCTATGTGGGATCATGGTCCTCCCTGAGGCCACAAGCTCCTGAGAGAGCAGCTTGAAAAGCGCTAGTGGGAGGTAGGGAGGCACCAGCAGGAGGTGCCTCAGAGGCACTCATGGGTTGAGGGTGGGCCTGATTGGAAGAAACGGGTTCTGTTACCTGGTTCTGCAGTAACATCACCTGGCAAGGTTTCACCTTCTCCACATGGTCACATTAAAGTTGGCACCCTGGCAAATTAATCCTGAAGAGAAGTCAAAGACACAGTTTGCTTCCTTGTCTGAAAGGCAGGATCTTAAAATGCCTGACTGCCTCATTTCACACGTGTGCGAGTCAGTAGGTCGTCAGAGAAGACGGCCTCCCACAAAAGCTGGGCAATGACCTGGGACCAAAGGCTTCAAAAAAGGGTAAGGAAACTCACGTTCTAACGTTGTGCCTGGGATTCTCCACTGGGAGCGGGCAAGGGAGTCACAGGGAGCCAACATGAGCCAGGCAGCCCCCAGATCGTAACCATCACTTGTCTGTGGTCCTCGAGGACACGAGGCAGCTTTAGCAAATGTGGAACTAAGCAGCTGCTAGAAACCAGGAGAAATCCATCTGCCCTCAGACCACTCCTTCCTCCTGCTGCCCTGGCTTCTAGGAAAGCAGGAAACCCCTGTTCTCCGGAGGGATTAAGCCTCTTCCTAATCACCCTCCAGGAGGGGAGAGAAAAAGACTTCTAGCTCCTACCTGGGCTGAGTCTTCCAGTCTGTCTCATTGCACTAGGCAAGCTGGAGGGGAAGCAGATTGCCATCCTCTGGGCTTGTGGGCTTGCTCGGAATCTGCCCGAGTGAGCTGGGCACTTAGGGAGATCAGAGGAAACACTACAAATTGCAAGGAAAGAATGAAGGGAAACATCCAGGCACTGGGAGGGTGGGCAGCCTGGGGCGGCAATGCAAGCCAGCCCTGGAGGCCCGAGGCTGCTCTGCAGTACTCAAGGCTTCTCCACAACCCCAGCTCCAAATGCAGGGGTCCTCCGCTGTAGCTAGCCAAAACATCCCTGTAGCCGTCTCAGAGAACATCTGACTATCAGTATAAAATACAAGAAACTATGCTACACATACTCAGAGGGTTTCCTCCTTCTCTGTTAAGATACAATGTAAGTACCACCCACACACCATGAAAGTGAATCAGTACCACAAAAAGGAGCCCAGCACCAAAGAAAGAATGCCTCTCTCTGCACAGAGGAAGCTGTAACCATGCCACAAAGAACACCGGTCAGCATTTGGATACCAAGGTTTTAGTCCTGACTTCACATTCATTAATGAACATTCCAACCTGTCTCCTCTCCTGGGTGGGTTTTAGTTTCCCAGCCCAGTTGAACAGAAAAATGCTCATACTCTCCCTCTTGGCTTCTTTCACCCCCTATAATGGCAAAACACAGTTCCCCAACCACGATCCAGGCAGAGAAAAGTAAAGACCCAGAACTGGCTGACAAACCCAAGACCAAGGTACAAGAAGGGATCCCGTTGTCTCACAAAGACACTTGTTCACCTTCATGGAGCCACGTGCTAACAGCAGCTCTGGGAATTATTCACCAAAATTCAACTCCATCCAGCCCAGCCTCTCCCTGCCTCCCAGCTCTCGCCTATTCTACCAACTGGTTATGGACAAGCACCTTTCTACTGGCCTAAGCAAAAGGTTTCCTAGGAGGAAAACTTGTCATTAAAATGTATTATCGTTGTTGTTAGTAATAGCATCATTTCATTCCAAAGACAAATACCCATGTACTTTGGAGTGTCACAGTTTATTTCTCTCTACTAGTGCTGATAACAGACAGCTATCTTGATTTCTCCCAGGAGTTACTGTGCCTTCTGCAATGTCCCTGGACTGGCTGGGTCAGCACCACCCAGCAGGAAGTTCCTAGGGCAGGCAGAGGATAGTGATCACCCTTTAAAGGGGAAGAACATGAATTGAGAGTATGGGAGGACAGAAAATGGTTGTGCAAGAGAAGTGAGATATGGGGAGAAATGCTTCCTCCTTTTCCTTTAAATCTGATGCAGGACTTTTCAGGAAATTAAACACTGAGACTATTAGCATCAGATAGAAAACAGATGAGGTTAAGGCATCGAAATACTACAGCAGATTCCCTGAGCGGGCAGAGAGGGGACATGTGTAAGCAATCACAGCAGTATTTCTGGAAAAGACCTTTTATGTTTTTAATACTTAACACTTCATAACAGGGACTAATAGGCGGGATAAAAAGAAGCCTGCTCAAAAAGCAACTTGGGAGATGAATGGTTTTCCAGACAACAGAGTTGGGGGAAGGAAACTTCTTGAGCTTCAGTCCCTCATCCCTTCCACCCTCACCCACCCTCCTCCACTGCTAATGGTTGGGCAGGAGGGTGGGCATCGATGACACAAGGAGCAACAGCTGGGTCCCCACTAAAGAGACTGCGACCGCGCTGTAGGTGCTGGGCCATGGCAAGGTGTGAAAACACACCCATGACCCCCGTGTATCACAGTCCAAATGCAGAGATGAGGGCAGAGGCCTGGCAGAGGGTTATGCAGTCAGGAGCAGCAGGACGCTGCTCCTCCCCTCTCAGTAACCTCTGATTCTCGCTTCTTGGCATACACAGCGTCACAGAGTATCCTTCTCCCTCAGCTTTCGCATCTCTAATTCGGGAGTAGTGATATTCCACAAGCCTGCCTAGAGGACAGGAAAACACAACTTAAAAATGACTAGAAGAAGCCACACTGGCATGGATAAGTATGCATTTTTGGCAGGGACACTGGATTAGGGAAGCGAGGTCATCCTGAGCACCTATCTATGTATGATCTTGGACAAGGTGCTCACTTTCTCTGTGTCTGTTTCCATATCAGTAAACTAAGGAATTTGGACCATTTGTGTTTCTTAATTGATACTCTCTTGCCATGGAGATGGGAGAGGTGCTTTGTGGAGGCCTGTTGGGTATGTTTCAGAATGGTTAGCATTGCTGGTCTCCTGGGTACTAACTGCCAGAAGCACCCCACAGCACACACGGTCATAGTCATACCCAGAAGTGGCCCTCACATTTCCAAATACTTGGGAGTTGGACAACTATAGAAAAAAAAAGAAAAAACACTGAAAAGCAGATAAAGAGATAAATACTTGTAGCCAGTTCCACACCCAGCCATAGTGTTCCACACAGCACAAAGCAGGCTTACCTTTCTGTCATTCATGTCATCCCCTGGACTGTCATATTCACCCTGTAGAAGAACAAAGGGTGCCAGATAAGGCCAATGAAAGTATCGAAAACAGATGCCACATGAGAAAGAATTTTCTTTTTTATTCTCTAGTTTCATCTCTTTTTTCATTTCCATTTAAGGAAGGCCAAAATCTTGGCATGGTAAGGGGCCAATATTCCATTTTCTTAGTCATCACCCCTTGTGATGTTGACTGGGATAGCTTCTCACACGAAGATGCTCTCCCTCCAATCTTTAGACAAAAGCCTGCCCCCACACACAGCAAACACAAAGGCAAAGCCCCTGCCTGGACATAGGCTGGCACATCATGGGAAAATCATCCCATGCCATAGCATGAGCACTTCTGCTCACAACTGGCACAACTGGGCTTTTCATATGGCACAGGAGACAGGTAGAAACAGAGACTCCCATCTGAGCTATCCCTGTTGGTCAGTCTCACAGGCCACCACTGCATGACAGACACTAAAAATGCAGCCCATCTGATGAAGGGTGAGGACAGGAAGCACGCAGTTCAACAGCTAATGAAGTCCTTCATAAACTGTCTCGACAAATATCATCGCATTGCATCATGGGACATTTATAACATTACTCCCAGCCAAACAATGCCTCCAATACACTGTGGAACACCAGGACTCTGCATGTCTTCCCATGGCCATCCACCAGCCTTCATAAACGTCTCTTTCCTCCTAGATGTTAGATCTTTATGTTCACATTTTGATCAGGAACAGTGGCAGAGAGATAAGGAAAGCTCAAATAAAAACTAGTTCCTTTTGCCAGTTGCATTGGAGAGATAGTTCCAGACCACTGGCAAAATCAAATTGAGCATTACGGCCAGCACCAAATAGGCCAAAGTCTGCTGAGGTATTTTATTTTATTTTTTCAATTTTTTTATTTTAAAAAAATTTTTTAAAACTAACAAAACAACAATGAAGACAAAATTAAACAACAAAAAAACAACAAAAATAATACATGACCTCAAAATAAAATGATAGGAATTAACAATGGTTGCTACATTACATACCGTTATCTTCAACGAAGTTACTCTGTCCACCAGACATAAGAATGTAAGATTGATTAAAAGTTGTTTTTTTTTAATATTTTGACCAATTTTGCATGCTTGTATCTGGTAATCTGAGCAACTTATGTGACAACAATTTACAGTATAGCAACCACTGGTGAATTCCTACAATCCTGCCTAGTGACACTATGTATTGTCTCTAATGTTCTTTTAAATTATTATTTTCTTATTCCCTTTGATGATTTGATCAGTCTTCTATTCTTACATCTGGTAATCTGAGCAACTTCGTTGAAGATAACAATATGTAATATAACAACCACTGTTAATTCCTATCATTTGGTTTGAAACCCCATATCATTTTTAATGTCCTTGCTTTGTTTTGTTTGTATTTTGCTATTGTTCTTTTTTTGTACTATTTTCTTTAAAATAGAAAATTTTTTAAAAAGACAGTAACAAGTGATATAAAAACAACATTGGAAATGATGCAGAGCTTCACCATGCAAGATGGCAGGAGTTCAACAATGGTTCTTATACTGCACGTTGTTGTTTCTAGATAAGTCATTCTGGTTACCAAATTCAAGCGTGCAAAATTGGTCAAGAAAAAAGAAAATTTTAAGCATTGACTGTTCCTTTCAATAAACCACAGACATCAGCAATACACGTATTCCAACTATCCTTATATATACACATAAATTTTGTTTTTCATTTTAAAAAACCCAAAATAACAAAAACAAATACATAAACAAAACAGCATAGAGAACAATAAAAATGATACAGAATTTCAAAACATGGTGACAGGATATTAACAATGGTTGTTATATTACTTAATGTCATCTTCAAAATGGTTGCACATATAACCAAATATGGGCATGCAAGATTGATCAAACAATCACACATTAACAGTTCTTTCACTAAACCAACAGATATTAGTAGTACAATTATCCTAGCTATCCTGTATATACACATACATATTTTTCCCCTCTTCCTTTTTTCTTTTTCCTCTCCCCTCCTGCATCCCAGTTGCTCCTTCCTATTTGAGCAGTTTCTTTTCCCTTTCACTATATCTATTGTACCTTTCAGATTCTATTTACTCTTTCAGGTTCTTATAGTAGGGAGGAAATACAATGTTTACACAAGTGAATCTGATTTATTTCACTAATGAGTATGGTCTTTAGTTTCATCCATTTACTTATAGAAAGCCTCTAGTTTATCTTTCTTTATAGCTGAGTAATACTCCATTACATAAAAAACACATCTTTTTTATCCATTTCTCAGTTGATGGACATTTGGGGTGTTTCCAAGATTTAGCTACTGCCTGAGGTATTTTAATGTCATGATTCCCTTTGCCTCACCTTGCATACATTCACCCACTGCATTACCTGTGTTGTTGAACTTCTAGAAAATTCAAGAAAGCATGCCAAGAGTACTTACATCATGAAGCGGGTAGGCGGCCTCATAGATATTGTTTGCTATCAGAGAGTTAATGCCTACAGAGGAAAGGAAGGTGAGATTAATAACCAAGGGCTATCAAGGAGGCATTTTTTTAATAAATCTTAAATTCTCACCCCGCTCCCAGCTGGGAGACACTACATTCTCCTCCATTTCACATTCCTCGAAAATTCAGATACCTCCAGTCCAAAATCCTGCATCCCCACCAGCACCAAAGGGCCACCCTAGCAGTGAGGAGATGTGATTCTGATCAATAAAAGCAGGAGTCAGAGAACTCCCCACCTCCACAGAGCTCAGACTCCTGCTCTCTCGGACCCTAACTTCCCTCTGCACTTTAACTTCCCTGCAGCAGGATACAGCAGCTTTCAAAATATAGTCTGGGCAACACTGAGAGTCTCTAGGACCTTTCAAGGGGTGCATGAAGTCAAAACTCTTTTTATAATAGTATTGAGACAATTTGCCATTTCTTTCTTATTCTCTCACAAGTATACAGTGGGGTTTTATGCTATGTAATAACACTATCCTCTGGTGGTTAATGGAAAGTGTGCTTGTGGTTGGTTGTTTGGTCGGTTGGCTTGTTTGTTTGTTTGTTTGTTTGAGGCAGGGTTTTGCTATGTAGTTCAATCTCGCCTTGAAGTCACTACACAGCCCAGGCCGGCCTCAAACTCATGGCCATCCTCCTGCCTCAGCCTCTCAAGTGCTATGATTACAGGTGTGTGCCACTACATCCAACTTGCTTGTATATTCTTGTGAACTGGATGAACATGACAGCTGCGTAATGCATGTATGTATGGAAATATCAGAGTGATCCTCATTAGTTTGTGCAATTAATAATGTGTTAATAATTATAAGAAAGGAATATTTCGAGCTGAAACATTTTCCCAGTTTTAAGTTCTAAAAGAATAAATGCTGAGCAAGAGAACCCACTTAAAATTCTTTTAATCATTTTTAAAAGTGTAAAGGTGCTCTGAAACAAAGAAGTTTGTAAACTATACGTCAAAGGATTCCCTTTGTGATCTCTCACACCATTTGCACATAACAGAGTGTACTGGATAAATGTTAAATGACCAAATGCTCCTGTCTCTAATGCTAACATACAACAGAGAACTTCTGTTCAGCAAAAAATAGTTATTATTTGTTTCATTCTTGGTTTTATTCAGAGACTATAAAGCAGCTTCTATGTTCTGTTTGAGTCAGGATAGGCTCCTTGGGTCATTGGCTTCTGGATGAGTGGACTCAACAACTCACAGGACCAAGGATCTTGCCTTGCAAGGATTCACATTTAATGGAGGAAAGGGAAGTAAGTTTCTCGTACACAATGATTTCCTTTGCCTTACACACACTTGCATGCCTGAAGTATTCTTTCCAGAGACTGTAGACAGTAGAGAGATGAGAAGATACTGATTTGGAAAGAAAGCTGTATGGTGTCCAAATTGTAAGCAATCTATTTTCATAGCTCTGGATAAACAATGAGGTTGGATAACAAATTAGGTAACATTTACTCATTGAAGCTCATTGCTATCCACTTTCTGTTCCCACCCAATGCTTCACGCACAGTTTTAGAGACTGGAGAAGACCTCAGGCAACCCTCTCCCTCTCCCTCCTCCATCAGCACCCTCTCCCTCCTCCATCAGCACCCTCTTCCTCAAACCTTGCCCAGCTTCACCACAGCTCTAGGATGTAGGATGCACCATAGCATGGGCCCGTGAGGGAGCAAAGACTGGGGGGACACAGCAGGGGTGGCAGACTGGACGGCCACTCTTCCAATGAGTCAAGAGCTGAGTGTTTTGGTGTTGCTGTTTCATCAGAGCCAGAAATCCTTTCCTGATTTTAAGTTTCTTCCTTGGTATGAACATAAAACGCGAGAGACAACTTTGGGGGATGAGAGGAGCATGGGGCGGGTGAAGGGGTACAGACAGGGGAGGGGTGCCTGGGAGGTCGGACGAGCTGCAGATTTGTTTTACTTGCAAGACTACAATTTCACTGAGAGCATCATTAATCAGTTCAAGAGCCCTAACCACAGCCATGTGAAGCCAACCTACAATAATCAAAGGGAGGAGCCTCAAGCTGGGAGGGGGATTGGGGAAGGGGTTAGTTCAAAGCTACAAAACTGCTGTTGACATGGATAGAGGCTGAAACATCACAGGCGAGTAGAGCTCCAGCTAAACCATATCCCAGGAATTACCCCCCAATCCTTGCACTGATACCCCATGATTGCCATGCAGTTCTACAGGCCCTAAATATAGTCCCAAAACTGTACTGGAAAAATTAAACAACTGTTTCACTTCACTTAACTCTTCTGCTAATTCTCAGCTTTCTTAGCACAGTAGCTGAGTGTCTAGAAGGATTAGGCTGACAACCTGAACTCCTGGGGCCAGCTGCCAGAGCCTCAAAAACATCTTAAATCATTGGGGGCCTAAAGCTGTGCACCCTGCCTCTACTCCATCTCAGAGCTTCCTGTAATCCTAACCTGAACCCTAACCCTAAGCAGGTAGCCATGCCCTTTCCAGGACATTGCTGACTTGATGTTTTGTGTCTCCCAAAGGCCTGCAAGATGCCTGGGCCAGAGAGTACTCGTCTTTCACCTGCACCTCTCACGTCATTTAGTCTGGGACGACAGAGACATGACAGTCATAAGCGTCACCAGCCCCATGGCTGCAGTTACTCAGTATCTCTGCTTGTTCATCAAGGGCACCTGCCTTCCTCACATGTTTTTCTGGCATCCTGTGCTGAGGAGGAAATTTTAGATTCTAGTTGATTATTCTGCCTTCTAAGACAGGAAGTCTAGGCTAATAGCTCTTTGCCTTGGAGCAATGATTCGGGTTCTGAAATCTGAGTTGTCCTAAACTCAGAAAATCTAGGGCCTGCTAATTATGTAACTGAACGTTTCTCAATCACCCATGGCCGGGTGCCTTCTGCAGGATACCTCGAGAGTATCATATGGATGATCCCAAGCAGTGTCTGCGGGGCAAGGGAAGCGAGAGCACAAAAGAAGAAGGAAGGAGCAGAGAGGCGAGCTGAACAACAGCCCTTGATCCACAACGTGATCCAAGAGTGGGGCATGCGCTGGCCTCTTCGTTTACCCTCAGACTTCAGAAACCTCTACCCCTAAACAAGCATGGAAATCAGTTTGAAAGGGGAATAAAATAATCAAACGTTTTTTTTTTTTTAAAGTTTCTGCTTTGAAAATTTAAATTCTGATTTTTTCCCTTTCTTTTCAGCAAAAATGCGCTAATTGATTCCATCATGTACCATCCATCTGGCCATAATGGTAAAGCTTTCTTTTTCAGGATCACATCTATAGTGTTTCTGTACTGCTACAGACCCAGAGAGGGAAGAGGAGAGAGACTCCCCAAGCTTTTGTCCTGTTACTCCCAGAGTAGGCACTGGGAGAAGAAAGCTCCAAGGATATTTCCCTTTCCCTCTATTCCCTGAAGAGCAGCAGTGCCTCCATTCAACCAAAGTGTAACCTCTTAGGGTCCCTCACGGGTCTCCAAATCTCCTCCAAATCGCCAGGCACTTCATACTTGTTGCTTAGAACTTTGAGCCCCAAAGGACAAGTTCTGCTTGCTCACCACCCACTCTTACAGCCTGGTCCAGCCTGGCCTGGCATCACTGTCCCTTCACATCCAGAGGCATTAGGACCCAGAAACATGACCACAGTGGGCTCAGGCCCTGGCACTGATACCTAAAACCATACTCATCATCCAAAACCTCGCCTTCAGCTCCAGAGATGTTTCTGTTTCCTGGACACAAAGGCACAAGCAAAGCACAGAGTTTACAGTCTGCCTCCCAAGGAGAGGCTCATTAACTCTGCAAATGCTTCTGGGTGACAGGGACCACACTCTACTCCCCGCAGGCCAAACTCAAAGGAAACTTTCATCCACCCGGACAGGTACTTGGAAGAATGGTGCCATGCCCCTGAAAGCCCATTTGGTTTTGATTCCCCCCAGAACAAGGCCCAGTCGGCCCCGCATTCCGCTTTCATCCCTGCACTCCAGCCGGAGGTAAATCGAAACCAGAGCCCCCAGACGGTGCATTTAACAGAGACTATATTTACCCATCACCAAATTGTCCTGACGTGTGCTTAATTACTTAAATGCCTTTAATCCCAAGCCTTTTCTTCTAACAAAATATAAACCAGTTCAGCTGGATGAATGATAAACCAGATGTTTACAACACACAACATGCTCTGGCTTCGGTCAAAATAATTAAGACATCGTCTCCTGAGTAGGAGGAGATGCCCAAAGCATACATTTGTTTAAATGCTCTGACACCAAAATGTCCATGAAAATGGAGCTCCATCAATTTGTAATTCTCTGTCCTTGAAGAGGCAATAATGACTTCCACATGAAGGAGCAAAAAAGGTGTTTGTCCTCCTCTGATAGGTCAAGGAGGTTTGGGTTTCCTTGCCTGGTAAAGCTTCCTTGAAAGTCAACCAGTGATGGAGTAGATTTCCAGGGACCTTACTGCTGACCTCAGGAAATGTGACATTGATTAAGGAGGCCTCACAGGGCTGGACCAAGTTTACAATCACTCACACGCTTCCACTACCAGACAGAACCTAAGTTGCAAATATTTTTAGTCTCTGAACATTGTGTGTACATTAGCCCATGGCCCCTCCCTTCCAGGCTGACTACTAGGGAGAGCTTGTACTGTCCCTTTGGAGAGTTATGGAAAATACTTGGAAGTTAACAGGTAGATCATCGCCAAATGGTACCTCACTTAACTTCCTCTAGGTCAGCAATTTTTATTTTGTCTTTTATATGAATTGTAACAGCCAAACATGGAAGGAAGGAAGGAAGGAAGGAAGGAAGGAAGGAAGGAAGGAAGGAAGGAAAGAAAGAAGGGAAGAGAAAGAGAATGAGAGAGAGAGAAAGAAAGAAGGATGGAGGGAAGAAGGAAGGAGAGAAAGAAGGAAGAGTCTATGAGTCCTAGCTGCTGGTAACTGGACATGAAAGGGGGCTGAATGCTGCATGTTCACAAATTTCACAAAAATGACAACAGAAATCGGCAGGCCCTTTGCAGGTAGACTTAG